TTATTCATCCGGTATTCCATGTGTCCATGCTTCAATAGTATCACGACGATCCGTCCTATGTGTTAGATTTCAACTTTATCCAATTGGACAAGGATTTGACTTACGAGGAGGAGCTGGTGGCTATTCTAGCCTGGCAAGTTCGCCAGTTGAGAGCAAAGAGTTATCCTTCGGTTCGAGTGCAGTGGAGAGGTCAGCCTATTAAGGCAGCTACTTGGGAGTCCGAGTCCGATATGCAGAGTAGATATCCCCACCTTTTCACCAGCCCACGTACTTTTCTATGTTCGTTCGAGGACGAATAGTAGTTTTAGAGGTGGAAAATATGATGATCCAAAAGGTCATCTTATGTTTTAGAACTCAAATCTATGCTCTTAAACCTAAAAAATCTCATTTTTACCCTCCTCAATTTACGGGCGCAGTCCGGGCGTGTTTCCGAAAAACGTTTATATTGAAAATTGATGAAAATAAGAATTTTTATCTTAAAAGTTGATTTTAGTTAACTTCGGTCAATATTTTTACTAAACGGGCCCGAATCCGTATTTTGACGGTCCCGGTGGGTCCGTATCGAATTATGGGACCTGGGCGTATGCCCGGAGTCGAATTCGGAGGTCCCTAGCTCGAGTTATGAAGTTTTGATGAAAATTAAAAGTCTGAAAATTTATTGTTTTTAAGAATTGATTGATGTTTGGTCTTGTTGATACCGGGTCCGTATTTTAGTTCCGGAGCCCGGTATAGGTCCAATATAATATTTATGACTTATCTGTAAAATTTGGTGAGAAATAGAGTTGGTTTGATGTGATTCGGACGACCAGTTGAGAAAATAGCAATTTTAAAGTGTTCTTGAGAATTTTATTTGATTTGGTGCTAAATTCGTAGTTCTAGGTGTTATTTTAGCGATTTGATCACGCAAGCATATTCGTATGATATTTTTAGACTTGTGTGCATGTTCGGTTTGGAGCCCCGATGGCTCGGGTGAGTTTTGGATAGGCCACAGGATATTTTGGACTTTGGAAAATCTGGTTTTCTGCAGATTCTGGTGTTCTGGTATGTCCTTCTTCGTGTTCGCGAAGGTACTCTCGCGAACGCAAAGAGTAAATAGAGGAGGCCAGAATTTTCTTCTTCGTGAACGCGAAGGCATGGTCGTGAACGCGAAGCGATGGGGGCGTTACCCTTCACGAACGCGACAAGCACCACGCGAACGCGTAGTGTTAGGCANTAGCCTACGCGAACAAGGTTTCGCGAACGCGAATGCTTGGCAGCCTATACCCTTAACGAACGCGACAGTGTTCTCGCAAACGCGATAAACACTGTCGCCCAACACTTAACAGATTCCAAAACACAGGAATTGTCCATTTATTTCATTTTCTAAAAATAAAACGGACTAAAGGCAATTTTCAAGAGTTGTTTTCTTCCCCAAAGTATTGGTAAGTGATTCTAAACCATTTTCTTTCAATTACCCATTACATTTTATGAATTATCAACCTAAAATCTAGAGTTTTCATGGTAGAATTAGGGGTTAGGGTAGAAACTAGGAATTTCGAAAAATTGGGGATTTAGACCTCAATTTGAGGTCGGATTCCAAAACCAATTATATATCCGGGCTCGGGGGTGAATGGGTAAATGGATTTTGGTTCGAACCTCGTGGTTTGACCAAGCGGGCCCGGGGTCGATTTTTAACTTTTTGGAGGAAAATTTGGAAAATTTAATTTATGCAATATAATTGATTCCTTTAGCAATATTTGATATTATTGAGTCAATTTTGAATAGATACGTGTGGTTTGGAAGTGAATTCTAGAGGAAAAGGTGTGATTGAGAATTAAGTGGCATAGGGAGCAAGGTAAGTATTGTGTCTAACCTTGACTTGAGGGAATTAGGAACCTTAGACTATTTGCTATGTGAAATTCCTATGAGCGGTGTATATGTGAGGTGACGAGTACTTATGCACCGTCAATTTACCTATTTTCCATGTTTCTTCCGTTTTTCTTATATTGTCTCTTTCCTATACCTAATTGCTACGTGTTTATGCTAGTCTTGTTAAATTGATCGTTCTTATCATGTTTACGGATTTTCTGGTGATAATTGAGAATTTATTTCAAAGTTGAGATTGATATTATGGAACCAAATGTTGAAGTAAGGCTTGTACTTGTTATTCTATCTCCCTGTTATTATTTATGCATTGCATTATGGTAAGGGAGAGTGTTAATGCACAAAGGGTGATGTTGTGCCATATTGTGAGTGTTAATGCACGAAGGGTGATGTCGTGCCATATGTTGAGTGTTAAGTCACGAAGGGTGATGCCGTTCCATATTGTGAGTGTTAATGCACGAAGGGTGATGCCGTGCCATATTATGAGAGTTAATGCACGAAGGGTGATGTCGTGTCGTTTCTATAGATTTATGGTGAGACTGAGTGTAAAAGCACGAACGGTGATGTCGTACATTTTTTCTTTACTGTATTAGTGTTCCTGTTGATTCATAATATATTAGTTGTTCCAGTTATCATTCTGCTATAGTTCTTTATCTCGTATTTCCCCAAGCATGTTTCCCCCTCCCGATATCGCTTGTCTAATTCTTCATTACAGTTATTTATATAT